GATATACAAATATTGTGCCTAAAGAAACACTAGCAATCGGTTAACAGTAAATAAATTGAAGCATGTAAATATTTTCAAATCTGATTTTGTTTGATTTACATTCCTCCATTAAGCACTCTCCTTCGACTTGATGCTCTCCTCCACCATGTTGGAGAGCTCCACGAGTTTGTCGATTTGTTTGGGTTTAAAGTTTAGTTTGCCCAGTTCCAGAGTCCAGGCGGCCACATCGACGCGCAGCTGTAGTCGTATCTTATCGTCATCCGATACCGCAGTGGATGCATTTCCGCTGCCCTGTGAATTGGATGCACCGCCACTCTTGAGATTACGTAGACGACGCAAAGATTCCTCGGTTTTCTGGACAGATGTCAGCACCTCACTAACCACATTGAAGTAGCTACGGGTTAAGAGAATTATTAATATAATAGATATACATTTGTGTTCAATTTTCTTTACTTACGCCTTGGTTATGTTGCTGCACACCTCGGCCAGTATCTGCTCCACCACCAGTGTGCCCAGCTGTTTCTCATGCTGAGCGGCAAAAGCCTTGAGCGGACGCAGCATCTGCTCCACGTAGCTGGAGCAACGAGTCGGTACCTCACGGTTCGTCTTGCGATACAAACGCGGCAGATCGTTGACTTGTCGCACATTGTCTGCCCCGCATTCGGTGATTAGCAGCTGCTTCAATGTGTCCTGTATGTTGGTGAGGTGCATGCCCAGTGTGTCAACCAAGTCGGCTATGGACTTGCCCAAGACATTGCTGAACAATGCTAGATTCTTGGTCTCAGGCGCCGACTGCATGATGAGCTGCTGCAACTGCGGCAAATATGATTCCAATTGGCGTGTGTCCGTGTATAAAGCAATTAGCAATTGATTCCGTGTGTATGGCTTTGAGTAGCTACTGCTCTTGGCCTCCTTGATGACATCTCGGATCCAGCGCGAGAGGCGCAAAACTATCTGAACATTGAGCTTGTAGAATTTGGCAAATACCTCCGACAAATAAACGCCCTCGGACCAGCAGCGAGTCAACGCTTCTTTGGCACCATTGAAGGGCATAAGGTGATAGGCATCTCCCTCTGGATGGGCTTGCAGCGAATCATCTTTGAGCAGGGGCTCTAACTGTGCCTCGAATTTTCCGGCGATTTCCTGCAATTTAAAGGCCAAAATATGAATATAGTTCTCAAATAAGATTCACAACTCACCTGAAAGCAGATTTGAAAGTAGACGGGCAGATTCCAGCGTGCCTCGAAGCTTTTGGTTTGATTGTGATGGCGGAAGGAGGAGACTACCTTTTCGCCGCGGCTCGTCAGCAGCTCCTCAATCTTGGCCAGAAAATCGCGTGTGCACTTGTATTTCACATAAAACACCTCCGAGTTGCCTGGTGCAAATATTGAATTCATGTGCAGCTCCAGGCGCATCTCAACATCTGCCCAAAAACTGTTGACCACAAAATTGAAGCCGTTTAACTTATCCGAGTAAAGCGTTAGACGCAACAGATCCGCCATATGCAGCGATATAAAATTCAATACTTTGCTATAAATGCCAGCCAATCCCTGTGGCGAATTCTGCAGCTGTTGCTCGCCAATGATGGCGCTCATATAGGGAGCAACAATATCTTCGCGAAAAGCGCGCTCTGCTCGGTCACACGCATCGAGTGTGATGTAGATGCGCAGACAGCGCTCCAAGTGCTCGGAGGCACCGTTCTTCGCCTGCTGCAGTGAAGTGTACAAGAAACGACGTAATTCCTGATGTACTTGCTCCTCCAGTTGTTCAATTGTGGATCTGTGTAAATTGCTCAGCTGAGTGTCGCAATGTTTCTCATGGAATCTCAACTGTATCAGGTCAAGTGCAGCACGCTCCAAGTCAACAGCCTGGGCGGGCTCGTCTTCGCTTAGCTTGTTCGTTATCAACTCCTGCAACTTTTCCATAATCTCGTATACTTTCTTAAGGCTTTGCAAACTGCGTTGAAATTCACGCAATTTACGCTTTTCCTCGAGCTGACTGCGCAGCTCAACCACATTTTCCTCAATTAAACTGTGTATGCCCTCGATTTCTGAACGAAATTGCTCCAAAGGGCGTTGTATAGTGTCGATGGTTTGGTCCAGACCCACCAAGTTGGCACTCAAATTAACGAAATCCGCATAGTCCTCGTTGATGAGATCGATCATAGCGGCACGTAGACCCTTCAGATAGAGGCCCAAGTTGTCGCGCAGCTGCTCCAGGCTAGGTGCGTTGCGATTCTTGTGTAGAAACTCATCCACGGAGAAATTTTCCTTTAAACCAAAGGCGCTGAAGGACAATTTGAAAAATATTCACAATACGAACCTTCATGAACTCATTTTTATCAAAGCAAAGCTTTTCAGCAGTGCTTGTGCCACCGGCCACTGATGGTCTTCTTGCTGGCTCATGCATAGTCGATTAAAGCCTTTGTAATAGAATCAAAGCAATTTTAAAACAATTGCCACGAACGAAAAGCAGCAGCTGACAGCTACATCTGGCTTCACAGTCGATAAACGCAATACGATTAATTTTAAGGGCTGACACTTTTACAAATGTACCAAAATCAGGTAGTTCGACTTGAGAAAGGATGTGCTTATAAATTAATGCAGATTTTGGTACTTCTGAGGTGAGCCACACAGCTGTTTGCATATTTATTTTTTTTATTATTATTATTATTATTTTTTAATACAACGCGCGACATTAAACCCCTAAGAAATTGTTGGTACATTTCAGATAGTACATAATAAGTATGCAAAGTGGCAGCTCAGTTTAAAAACAAACAGGTGGCAACGCTAGACTACATATCGACGTATCACTTTTTTGCCGGCTTTATTTACAAATAAACAAATTGCAAACATGCCGAAAAATCCAGGCTATCGTAACAATAATAATGGACCGCGCAAGCGTCAAGCACAGCTGGATGAGCAGAATCCCGTTGTGCAAGCGTTTCGTAGCTATGCGACCGAATTGGACGCCAAACACGATCGCCATGAGCGAATTATAAAACTAAGCCGCGACATTACAATCGAATCGAAGCGCATAATATTTTTCTTGCATTCCATTGATTCGCGCAAGCAAAACAAGGCCAAAGTGCTTGAAGAAGCGCAACAACGTTTGAACAAGCTCATCGAGGTGAATTTCCGAGCCATTGCCTTGGAGCTGCGCAATCAGGATGTCTATCAGTTTCGTGCCGCATACTCGCCTGGCTTGCAGGAGTTCATTGAGGCGTATACCTATATGGAGTACTTGTGCAACGAGGACAACGGCGAGAACTCAAAGTCGATATCAGACTGGTCGGCCTTGCAGTTGATTATGCAGTATGAAGTTGAGGCGGAGAAGGAGAAACCCGTGCAAGACGTGGGAGATTCGTCAATGGCCGGTGAAGAGGAAACAGCCAAAGCTGTGGAAAAATTCCAGTTTTTCGTCGATCCCACTGAGTACATTTTGGGCGTTTCGGATTTAACTGGCGAGCTGATGCGTCGTTGCATCAACTCACTGGGCAGCGGGGATACGGACACATGCATGGAGACCTGCAGGGCATTGCAGCAGTTTTACACAGGGTGTGTTAAGCACAGGGTGCACCTTCATAATGGAAACTAATGTCTAATTCTTTGTCACTTGCAGGTATATCAGTCTGAACTGTCAGCGTGCCCGCGAATTATGGCGTAAAATAACGACAATGCGGCAGAGCATGCTGAAGGCCGAAAATGTCTGCTATAATGTGAAGGTGCGTGGCGGCGAGGCAGCCAAATGCGCCAGTTTTGATCAAAAGCCAGCAGAAGAAACCGATGAGGGTTTCTTTTAAATAGATAAATAGATTCAACAAACATTCGCAGCTTATAAGCAAAATATATGTAATCATTCTTTTCAAAATATACGGCAAATGTATTATTTGCAGCAAACGTTTAAATGTGATGTACGTTAGTGATCGGACTATCGAGATATTGAACCAATGTGCTTATCTCCAAATCTTATCGATAGCAACTGATAGCTGTTATTTAATTGTATAGGTAATTTACTTATTGTCTTATTGCAATACTTAAGTTTAGAAAGAAATAAACGCAAGCTTTTAATCTACTTAATGTACGCAATGTGCAAAGAAATAAAATATTCTAAAAATAATATCTGGATATTTATCGTAATTGACAACATGTGATTTTCGATACTTTAATAGCATCCCTAGTCAGCTGTTCAGTTGGTTTCCAATCAAAAATTTCGCAAAGTAAAATTATTAATTTTAACATTCTACGTTTAGGTCCACTTGTTTATCTATAATAAACAGAATATAATAACGAACGAGCAGGATGTCGATACTGGCTAAAACCTTGGGACGCACTTTCTTTCAGGTAATCGTCAAAGAGAGGTTGCCAAGTGCTTACATAAACACTTGCCAAGTTCTTTGCAGCAGCCGTTGCTTAGGCACTTGGAGCCAAGTCAAGTGCTGATGCCAATATTTTTTTGAGGTTAACATCCTCACATCCTTCTTAGCATAATGACTAACTATTATATTATACTTCTATTATTTATAGGCAGCCGCAGTTCGCGCACTACATGTGTCAGCGGCGGTTAGTGGTGCGGTGTGTATTCAAATATAAAATTAATATTACCTTAGAGAATCGTATGTAATAATTATGATTTTAATAGGAGACCTATAGTGCAAATAGAACCACTTGCACTCTAGTGCCCGGCGATGGTGTCGGACCCGAATTGGTCTACTCACTGCAAGAGGTTTTCAAGGTAAGAAAGAAATGCTCCATTAGCCGGAAGTAAAAATAACGTTTTATTACGCACAGGCTGCAAATGTGCCAGTTGACTTTGAGGCGTTCTTTTTATCGGAAATCAATCCTGTGCTAAGCGCCAAACTTGAGGATGTTGTCGCCTCCATTCGCAAAAACAAAGTTTGCATTAAGGTCAGTTACGAACTGCTTTATAGAGATAGATACTAATCTCGTATGTATCATATATATAGGGTATTTTGGCTACACCTGATTACAGCAATGAAGGTGAACTGCAGACGCTTAACATGAAACTGCGCACAGAGCTTGATTTATATGCAAATGTGGTGCACGTTCGCAGCTTGCCTGGTGTTAAGACACGCCATGACAACATCGATACGGTCATCATCCGTGAACAGACGGAAGGTGAATACTCAGCCCTGGAGCACGAGTCGGTGCCCGGCATCGTGGAGTGCCTGAAAATTGTGACTGCCAAGAAGTCGATGCGTATTGCCAAGTTTGCCTTCGATTATGCCACCAAGAACAACCGCAAGAAGGTAACTGCCGTGCACAAGGCCAACATCATGAAACTGGGCGATGGCCTCTTCTTGAAGTCATGCGAGAAAGTCTCGAAGCTGTATCCACGTATCGAGCTCGATAAAATGATTGTGGACAATACGACCATGCAAATGGTGTCCAATCCCAATCAGTTTGATGTGATGGTCACCCCGAATCTGTATGGTGCCATTGTCGACAACTTGGCCTCTGGCTTGGTCGGCGGCGCTGGTGTCGTTGCTGGTGCTTCATACTCGGCTGATGCAGTGGTCTTTGAGCCGGTAAGCACTTGACATACAAAGTGGTTGGACAGCACTTTAACAATCTTTTCTTATTGACTTTATAGGGTGCACGCCATATCTTCGCACAGGCTGTGGGCAAGAATGTTGCGAATCCAACGGCAATGCTAATGTGCGGCACAAAAATGTTGCGTCACATCAATTTGCCAACCTATAGCGAAGTCATACAGAATGCCATCAACCAGGTGCTCAAGGACGGCAAGATACGCACCAAGGATTTGGGTGGACAATCTACCACTCAGGACTTTACGCGCGCCATTATTGCCAATCTGCACTAGATCGTTCTCGAGCCGAATTCAGCTGGTCAATTGGCCACAACAGTTGGCTGTGGCTGCCCCAACCAAGGATTGTACGCATGCATAGACACCAAACTCTTCAGTTATTGCCTAAATTATTAGAATGTTAAACATGATTTCTGATATTTAGTTGATTTTTCAGTATGATTTTCTCCTCTGCCTCCCTCCATAATTCAATTGATGCTTTGAGTATTATTTCTGGCGAATATTTATGTTTAGAACAATTACCTCGCCCAACCGCCCAACCGCCCAGCCCCTTCTCCCGTATTCATTTACCCCAAAACTTTTTAGTTTTACAAATTGGCCGTATTGTTTATTATTTTGTGATTACGTATTATACAACAAAAAATCCAAGTCGGATTCGAATGTTTGCAAGCAGCATTAAGTTTATGACAAGCAAATGCAAAATTCAAAAATAAAAAATATTAAATTAAAAACACAATCAAAGTGAAGCGAGAGCAAAGATGCAGAAAATAAAACCAAAATTACTTAAAAATTTGTGTTAATTATATTATACTCAATGGAAAAAAATTAATTACGAAAAATATTTCACATTGTTTTATTATACAAACTTTAGAAAACCGAATGAATAACACCAAAACATTTCGAAATATCTCAAAATTGTTTTTTGGGCTTACGAGCCCTTGGGTTTGGCCAGTTCTATGAGTCGCGGCGAGGCCTTCGCCTTGAGTGCCGCAGGTGAGATGGCAAAAGGATTCTCTCGGATATGCGTATTCTCGAACTCCTTTGGCTCGGCCAACTCCTTCATGCGCGTTGTTATCTTGTATTTTAATGCGTTTGGCGAAATGGAAAACGGATCGTCCTTAAGATCGGCCGGACCCAAATTGGCTTCGTGCTTAGCCAGAGGCTGAGACATCTCCTTAATGCGGTCACTCGCTGTGGTTGGCATCAGACAAATGTAAATATCGTTATATGGCTAAATATTTAAGATTAGAGCTTACGCTTGTATTTGAGCGCATTGGGTGAGACTTTTCCAGGATTTTCATTGGTGTGCACATTGGGTCGATCCACTGGCTCAGCCAAAGTCTTAACACGATCCGAGGCTTTGTAGTTACGCATGCCCGGTGTGAACTCCCATTCAGGCTTGATATCCTCCATAATAACCCTGGGACGGGATAGTTTCTTAAGACGCCGCTGATCGATTTGTCCCTTTTTCCGATCCTGCAAAGCAAATAAATGTGAGAGTGTTATCAAATGAGTTGATATTTGATAAGCATACCTATATAATAACTGATATATCTGACTTACCAGTGGCGGTGGGGCTTTCGGTTTACGCGGTTTAGCGAGTCGTGCGATATTCATCTCCCTCATCTTCATTTGCTTCTCTGTTAGCTTCTTCTTTTTTTTGCTGTTTCGAATGCGAATTGAAATTAGTATTCGAGCTAGAATATGGGTGGGTATATTAGTTGGTCAGATGCTCACGGTTTCTCCAACGGCTGCACATTGCACAAGCGACTGTACAAAGACATATAACTGTAACGTAACAAGCGATTAATGATGCCCTCGCCAATCATATCACCGTTCGCGATGGCATCGGCTCGACGGCTAAGCAAGCGCCTAACCGTCGGCAGTGCCAATTGATCGGTGCGTGTATGGATGGGGTGATCCGCTGGTACGATTTCGATTGTCTTTTTGAATGGACACGCACATTTGGGCAAGTAGCGGCATCTTGGACGCAGCGGCACCGCCAGCTCCATAATACGTTTGCGTTTCGTAAAGCTGCGCGCGTGACGCTCGTACAGCTTCTTCAGCTCCTTGCCAATGTCTCTGAGGAAACACTCTGCATCGTAAGGTATGCGCTTGATTATGGGACAGCAATCCGGACGGACATTATCAGCGAGCTTCAGACAGGTCGTCAACTCTGGACTGAGATCACATTTCAAACGTTTTAGAGCCATTCTTCCTTATTTTTTGTTTCGCAATTTTCTATTTTTTATTGATTTTCGTTTCTATTCCAAATGGTTGATTTTTTTGTATTTTTTTTTATTTTTTTAGTTGCGCTACAGAAAATTTATAGTCATCTGCTTAAGAATATTAAGACGAATTTAAATAGCTTCGCTTATCTCCAAAGCCTACTAAACTACAACTACTCCAATCTTCTCTCAGAGATTACGTTAATGTACTTAAAATACTGAAATTTACTTTAACATGTCAAGCTTCAAACTACAAAAGGGACAGACTTCGAAATGAAATCATGAGCGCGTACATAAAACTGTGACTTGAAATGCCTATTCGATAATTTAGCAATATACGAATACTAAAAAGATTAGATAAAACAATTAATTAGTATTTCTTCCAAGTATTTTCAGTATGTATTTGTTCTATGTATTTTCTCTAAGTATTTTCTCTAAGGTTTTTGTCTAAGCATTTCTTCTGTCTGTTTTGTCTAAGTATTTTCTCCAAGTTTTAATTATTTTCTCTAAGTATTTCCTCGAAATATTTTTTCGGTGTTTAATCCAAATATTTTTTCTAAGTGTTTCCTGCAGTATTTCTTATGTATTTTCTCTTATTATTTCTTTTATGTCTTTCCTCTAAGTCCTTAACTACCCACCACGCCTGGTCGACTGAAGAAATGCTGCCGTTGCTGCCCTTTATATAGGGCAACTTTCACTCAAAGTCTAAGTCGCTCTTAAATGCTGAGCACGGAGCCAGGTAGAGATCGTTGCAGCCGAAATTTAAGTAACCAATGGGAGCACTCGCTGCTGCTTCGATCATTCTAGCTTCGTTTTTCACAAATATAAATACCGAATGAGTACTGCTGCATACATTCAAAGAACTTAAATGGTCTTCTGTAGTTATTCTTCATCCGAAAGACTGAGAGACATAATGTATGTACTTACACATATTCTCAATCAAGGCGACGAGCTGAGTGGATTTAATCGCTTTTTCTGTTCGTACACTGGGAACGATCTCAGAAGCTATAAGAGCCAGAAAGAGTTTATTTGCAAAAATCGATAGCACTGGGCGAATCTTGACACTTTATAATTCGAGTAGATGGAATGTTCCAAATTTCAAGATTCAATCGAATTTATACGGACTAACGGACAGACAGCAAGACGGATAATGCAGAGGGCCAATATACTCATTTTACTTTCGGGAAGAGTATAAATCCTGAGCAATGCAACATGCCAAAATAGAATAAAAACCTCTTTGTCGTACTGTTTTATTAAATTTTTATTGCCAGTATTCTTTGAAATACTGAGAGCTCCATGTTCACATCATTACAAGTTAATAGTTTGTGTGTGTTTCGGTTTTCATTTTGTTTTGTTTATCATTTGTAAGTATTGTTTTGTCTTTAGTAGATTTTGCCATTATATCTCCTTTGGTTGTACACATTCATATACATAAATCTAAATGTTGCTGTTGTTGTTGTTTTATACTTTGCAATTTCTATTATTTTTTACACAATGTTTCGGTTGTTAAACATTTGAATACCCATTCGAAAATTGATTTCGAACTGTAAATATTGAACTTGGCATTGAATTTTCCAGTGAGAACTGAAGAACGTTTTTGTTTTGTAAATCAAAGTCCATGATAATAGTTAATAATATTATAATTTTTTAGCAGACATACACAAATATACATAAACATATGTATATATATATGTATATATATTATAAATTTGAATTTACCATTTACTAAGTTCACATAAATTTTGCTAATTTAATTTGTTAAATTTTTTTCTTCTTTTCTTTCATTTTTACCCACCTAGCATACATATTTTGATATATAATTTATTTACACCCAAAATATTTTTACCAAATTATAAATTTCTATGTAAATCAATATGTTTTTCTTTTCCTTTACGATTATTTAACACCCAAATTTTTAAATTTTAATTTTCTTTACTTGCGTATCGTATACAAGACTTGCTTACACTTAAAATTTCAATATTCCAAATATTTTCCACAGACATTTATTGATTTATATATAGTTTTTTGCTTTTGATATATTTATATATTTATATTACCAAAGTTTGTTTTTGTTTTTTTTTTTTTACAGTTTTTTCGGAATAAATTTCACATATATGCATATTTTAGTTTTTGATATATATTCGAAATGCTTGCCCAGATATTTCGTAAATTTGTCTTCTTCATTTCTATATGCATATCATATTAGTGTTCCATCGAGATGTAGATATGCCTCAAATTTCCTTTTCCAAAGATTTCTCGAGTTGTTAAATAAATCTTTTGTTTTTGTCTTTTCATTTTGTTTTTGTTTTTTTTTTTTATTTTTTTTTTGGTCCCTGAAGCTGTTGAGTTTTGTTTATAGATAGATTTTATTTTTATTAGTTTTTGTTAGTTTTGCCTTCGTAACCAGTTCTAGAGTACTTTTGATATCCAAAGAGCTGTTGATTTACGCGTGGGTTAAAATAACACAAAAACATTTTCAAACACGTTCAAAAAAATCAAGTTTAAGTAAATTAAATATGCTCAAATGTGTTTTACTTGTATTCTTTGCCAATTTTCTTGTTGTTTCTCTATTTTTGTTCAATGTGAAAATGGAGCAAATATTGAAGTTGTTCTGGATAGTGGTAAATCCCATTGCTCTCAAATCACTGTTCACCCTTTTTGTATGATAGAGCATAGACACCCAGATAATCACTCAGAGAGCAACTTTCAATTTCTTCGGTTCTTCAACCAGTTCCTTCGCCATCGGATCGTTCGTGATAAGAGACGTTCGTCTGACGAAGAGGCCAACTCAAAGAGCTCAGCCGAAGGCTCTAGCTCGGAGCGAGATGAAAGAGCTAACAGTTATTTGCGAGCTATRGTAAAGCCACATCAGAGTCAATATTTACTTTGGTCTATTGTTAAGTATATTTTGAATAAGTGTACTAAGATAGATTACTATTGCATTTTATGTGTAATATATATAGATATACATATATATATGTATATATAGCATAGAGCAAAAATTTGAAATAAAAGCCTCTGAGTTAAAAAACGTAAAGTAAATCTAGAAATTAAAAAAACTTCAACTGTTTAACTAAAATATTTGTTTTTGTTTTTATTCATAAACATTTTCAGCGTAAGCATATATGATATATATACATTCATATATCATGAAACACAATAAGTAAATAATAAAAATAACGAAAAATCATAAACCTAACTGTAATTATAAATTTATATATAGTATATAACAATTATGCACGCTGAACAAATTTTTAAATCTAATTATATAACTTAACTCAATTCTACTTAAGTTTTTTTTTTCTTTTTTCAATATTTAAATCATATATGTTTTTATTAATATTTTGACAAATTATTCAATATATTTATATAACATTTTGTTTTTGTTTCGCTGTAAAGAACTAAAAA